TGGGGCATGATACTGAGAAGTGGACTCCCGTGTGCCCCAGGTCAGAGGAGGCTGAGACTGCTGCAGACGGGCAGAGGGAAGGGGTCAGGCGGGGTGGACATTGTGGCTACGGAGGGGCCATCTGTGGAGCTCCTGCTGGGCTCCTATCCGTAGGGCCATTGCTGCCGGACAGGGTGGGCAAGCTCATTGCTCAGGTAGGTAATCTGAGGCTCAGGAAAGCAGGTAACTCACCCGAGTGGCGCGCAGATGGAGCGGGAGCCCCGGCGGCTGGGTCCTTGCAGGGCTCTAGCCATCTGTGCGAGACCTGTGATGCCGGGGTGGCCAGGGCAGGGGTGGCCCGGAGGTCACACTGGAGGGAGGGCTTCGGAGTCAGGGCAGCACAGCGACATGGCCAAGACGCCAAGGGGGCCGTGGGCCGACAGCGAGAGCCGGATGGAGGCAGGTGCCGTGCACACCATGTACACAGTTTGGGTTGTTTTGAATTCCTGCTTCTTCGTGCCCTTTGCCAGTCTGATGTCAGTGTGACGCTGGAAGTGTCTTTGATAAAAGAAAAGGAAGCTGCCGGAGCAAAGAGGTGTGCCTGGAGATTCGGGAAGAGCGGGGGCTTCGGGTGGGCTTCGGGACGTGGGGTGCACGTCTGATGGCAAGATGCATGGGGTGTACGGTGGCCCTCGAGGCCCGTTGGCTTTCTAGCGTCCTGGCAGGGCACGGGGCTGGCTTTGTGTAAAGTCCCGGGTGCTGCATGCAGCCCTCTGGCTGACCTGGTGGGGCCGGGCAGGGAGAAGGGCCTGGCCGTGCTGGGGGACACTGGCTCCAAAGCCCCCCTGGGGCTCTGAAGGCAGCCTCTGAAGGCTCAGCCCCTGGGTTCAGGCCTGGGGTGGCCGGCACTCAGCAAAGTCCTGCTGCACAAGGAGGGGAGGGTGCTCCTGGTTATGGCTCCTGCTCGGGGCTGGGCTTGCAGGTATTGCCTCATTCAGCCCTCCCAGCGATCCTCGGTAACAGCGAGTAGGAGCCCATTTTGCAGATGAGGAAGCCGAGGTTTGGAGAGGACCTTGCTGCAGCTTGTGTGGCCAGGGGTGGAGCCAGGTTTGCAGCCTGTTCTGTGTGTGGCGTACACTGCAGGCCTGACCTCTGGCCAGGCAGACGTGGCCTCAGAAACGTTGCCTGATCTCCTGCGTGACCAGGCCACCCTTCCCAGGCCCTCACACTGTCTTTTAGGCTCATGGATGGGACGCTGGGATGGAGGAAGGTCTGGGGTTAGTGAAGAGTCTGGCACCACTCCAGTGTTGTGTGACCCTCCCCAGGTCACTCACACTCTCTGTGCTTCGGTTCCTTACCTGAGCCAGCTGCCTCCTCTTACAGGGACTTGGCACCCTGTGAAGGGCTTCCTCTGCCTTCCCCGAGGCCGCCAGTCAACATGCAGCGCGTTGTCCTGTGTTGTCTGTCTGGGCAGACTGGGGCTGCTAGGAGCAGCTCTGGAGCCTGGCCCTTGGCGGGAGGGGGTGCCGTGCAGCTGGAGGTAGGGTGGTAAGGGCTCCTTAGAGCTAACTGGGCCGGCTTTGTGCTCCCTGCTCTTGGGCAGAATGTGAGGAGGCTGGAATACCCACGTCTCTGACCCCCTGCCCTCCGTGGGGAGCGCAGGCGGCCTGCAGGCGTCCCCTGGACTGGCTGCCAGAGTGGCTGGGAAATAAGAGCTCCCTTTATGCAGCTGTCCTGTAGCTCAGCTGGAAGCCACAGGGCGAGGGGTCCGTGGGTTCCCGCCTCAAACGTTAGCACCTGGGGTCTGCAGAGGACCTTGAAGGCTGAGTGGCTGGCGGGCTGTGCTGGGTTGTTCTCTTGAATCCTCACTCTGGCTTCTTTTCTGGGTCCTTGGAGTGGGGCACTCCCAGGCTAAGCCGGGGGGGGGGGTCCGGGGTCTCCCCGCCTCAAACGTTAGCACCTGGGGTCTGCAGAGGACCTTGAAGGCTGAGTGGCTGGCGGGCTGTGCTGGGTTGTTCTCTTGAATCCTCACTCTGGCTTCTTTTCTGGGTCCTTGGAGTGGGGCACTCCCAGGCTCGCAGTCAGGACTTCCTGTTGATTTCTGATCTCTCCAAGAGCCACAGGTCATGTTCACAGTCAAGGGTTGGAATGTTCTTCCTGTCGCTTTGGGTGTGTCCTCCACACAGTGCTCCTGGGGAGGAAACCTTGGCCGTGCTAACCACACCCAACCCGGCCCTCTCGGTGGCTTGGGGTGGCTCATCCTTGGTCCCTAATGGCCTGCCTGGGCCACCTTGTGGAGACCAGCGGGGAGCAGGAGGACTGGGCATTGTCTGCTGAGTACCTCAGCTCCCTTTCACTCTGGGCTCTTCCTGACTCCTGTTATCTCTACCCCTGCTTCTTTGATCCTTGGGTCGAAATATGGACGCAGGTGGTGGCTTTGGCCCCCAAAGCTCGAGGTAGGCGGAGACGCACAAAGTCCAGCATGCCTGGTAAGTTTTGTTAAATAGCTTTCTGGTCTTGCCCTGCCGCCCAAGGAAGACAGGACATCCTAACCGGAGAGTCCTCCCAGTCACCAGGCTGTCTCCGTGGGCATGACCTGCTGTAACACCCTCGGTCCACCGCCCACACCAGGCCAGAGGCGGTTCCTTTCCTCCTCTCCCGGCTCGTCTTGTCCTAAGACTCTCTTTCCTGTGGTCCACAGGCTGCAGCACAGCCCCACAGAGGCCACACTTTCCCCTCAAGCACTTTTCTCCTGACGTGCGGCTGACAACCAGTGATGGAGAGACAGGGTCCCTGGGAGGCAGGACAGGCTGAAAGGCATTATCACAGTTCGTGTGCTCACGCGGTGCTGTACCCACGGCAGGTGTGACCAATCGAGGCATCACTCCCCAATAGTAATCCCTCTTTGCCCGGCTTTCCAGGCAGCAACCTGATTAACCCATTGAGATCGATGATTTAGACAAAACCTGCTTGCTGCCCCCTGGCAAAAGGAGTGGACCTCAGTCTCAGAAGGGACTGCAGTGGAGGCATTCGGGGCCACGTATCTGTGGAGTGTGACCAGCCTCTCCCAGGCCTGTCTCAGGGCCCTGGACTGGACTGAGGATGGGCCTGGCTCGGTGTGGTTTCCCTCTGTACACAGGGATGCAGCCCAGGACTTCTAGTCCATGCCCGAAACCGTGGCTAGTCCCGCACCCTGCATACACTGTTCCTCTAAACATTGGGTGCTCAGAATGGCACGCAGTGTAAAACTAGTGACTTATTAGCCGGCTGTGGTGGCTCATACCTGTCGTCCCTCCGGGGAGGCTGAGGAGGGGGATTGCGAGTTCAAGCCCAGCATGGGTAACTTAAAGAAACCCAGTCTCAAAATGAAAAATGAAAAAGGGCTAGGGGTCTAGTTCAGTGCAAAGACTCTAACTTCCTCCGGTGCCTTAAACAAACAAGCAGAACACAACAGCATGAATTATTTATTTCTAGAATGTTTTCTTTCCATCTGTTTGTTGATTTTGGTGCTGAGGCTGGAACCCAGGGCCATGCACGTGCATGTCTCCAGCCCTGGGACAATGAATGTTTTTAGTGCTGAGGGGAGATCCAGGGCTTCCCACGTGCTAGGTGTGTGCTGCACCGCTGATGAGCTGCAGGTCAACCCCGAACTTCCCACGTGCTAATTTCAGACCCATTACGGTGGGTGGCTGAAGCCCTGGAAAGTGAAACCGTGGGGGAAGGGGAAGCGCTGTAGTGCAGCCTCCCAGAAGCAAGGCCACGCTTACCCTGGGAAGGACGCTACCTGCGTGGGTGGAACTCGGGACCTTGCGCCTGCGAGGCAGGCAGTGGAACCACTGAGCTAAATCCCCAGCCCTTACTCTTGCCTTCTTCGCGGTGAGGTGGTTACACTTTGGGGGGCGTTGTCGATTTGACACTAACTCATGATGCCGCGGAAGGAACCACTGGCCTGACGTCTGGGTTCCAAGCTGGTCTCAGTCACCTGCTGTGTGAGCTTGGACGAGTTACTTAATGTCTCTGAGTCTTTTACTTTGTTCTCTGGGACAAGGACAACCAATAGTAGTGGACAGTTGCCTCGAGGAATAAAGGAGGGTGAGAATACAGTCTGAGCCTGGGTGGTTCTGTCCTCTGAGCAAGGGGTGAGAAGAGAGCGCAGGAGCGCTGGGGTGGCCTCTGACCCCGAGAGAATGGCACTGTGAAGACTCAGCGGCGACAGCGTGGGGCCTGGGTTGGTGATACAGGCAGCCGGTGAGCTGTGGAGTGTGTGTCCCTCATCTGACCGTCCTGAGCTCACCTCGAGACTCTGGCCCTTCCCACTGGGGCTGTGGGCAGGAGAGAGGGCCTCTGCTCTGTGTTCCATTGGCTCTGGCCCCGTAGCACGTACCGGGCTGCTGCCAACCCTGCGTGGGACTCTCTGTGGCCTGGCAGTGCGGTTCAGCCGGGAGGCTCTGCAATGGGGCGGGTTTCCCTCCGGCTTTGCCCATGCCCCGTGGGCCTTGGGCACCTGTGCTCTGCTCCCACACGCGTGCCTGGAGATGCCACCTTGGATCTGGATGCGCACTGCGTCACAGTGCACGGGCACTCGGGTGCTGCTGCACACGGCAGTCACAGGAGGGAAGCGTACGGGCAGCTGCCCCGGGTGCCCGAGCCCTTCTGCTGCCGGGCACCTGTGGAACCCAGGCTGGCCTGGGGTGGAAAGCACTGGGCGCTGTTGAGCAGGGGCGTCCGTGCGGTCTGCCCCCCGGGCCCCCCGTGCGACCTCTCTTCTCCTCTCCGCTCTCCAGTAACATGTCCAACGCCCTGGCCAATGCCGAGTGCCAGCGCTGCCAGGCTCGCTTGGCTGCCGCCGAGCGCATTGTGAACAGCAACGGGGAGCTGTACCACGAGCACTGCTTCGTGTGCGCCCAGTGCTTCCGGCCATTCCCGGAGGGGCTCTTCTATGAGGTGAGCATGCACAGCCGGCTTGCCGGGAGCCTGGGGCTGCCGGGGCTGGTGCCAGGCCCGAACGGCACAGAGCCTGCTCAGCACCCCTAGGTGGGCATCCTCACCTGTGAGCTCCTCCGGCTCCTCGGACAGGTGTGGGGAGTAGGAAGCCCCTGCCCTAGCAGTGCGTGCCTGCCCTCGGGGTCCCGCAGTGAGCCATCGGATGGTGTGCATGTGTCTGGACGAAGGGTCCTGGGTGGGTGTCAGTAATCAGGAGAGATCATGCCGGAGGGGACCACGCAGCTGGCAGAAGGACGTCTGGCAGAGGGCACAAGCACAGGCCCCGTAGTGGAGCCATGCAGGGGTTCTGGGGGGAGCAGCAGGAAGCAGGGCAGAGAGGTGGCTGTCCGCTCGCCCTGTGCCACTGCATGGGGCCATAAGCCCCTCCCTGAAACAGACCGCACCAGCCGGGGTGGGGAACCCTGGAATCCCAGCATCTGCATAACGTGAACAGGATCCCTGTGGTCACCGGGCAGAGGACGGAGGACAGGCTGAGGGTGGTAGGGACAGGAGTGTAGAGAGCAGGACTATTGCTGTAATTCAGATGAAAGTGAAGGAGCCCAGGGCACACACCTGGCTCACAAGAGAAAATGATTAAATCTTCAATTGGCAAACTGCCGTTAAACATGGCCATTATTAAAAATGAAGTCGTGTACGTGCTTGGTGCAGCGACATTTTATTAAAACAAAGGTAAGAAATACTTCAAACTCCCTGCCTCCCGGTTACTTTGTTATACTTCTCTATCGTCTACGCTTTGGAGGTTATTTCCGCGCACTGTACCTGTGCTGTGGGGACCGCGGTCTCGCAGCTCCGCGCTGGTGGCTGCTTCAAGTTGGCCGGGAGGGGGTTCACGCCAGGGCAGGGGCGCGCACCAGGCCTGGGGGGCTCTCCCGCTGCCCTGTGAGGAGCCAGCTGCTGTACGTCTGCTGGGGAGCAGGGGCCAGGGCCGTGGCTGCAAGCATTTGCGGGGGGCTCTCGTGGTAGACGGCTGTGCACAGTGGGGACTTGCAGAAGTGTTGGCCCCGGGAGAGGCTGTGGGAGGGGCGGGATGGGCAGAACTCGGAGGACACAGCGCCGGAACAAAGCCTGCCGTGCTGAGGGAGATAAACCCCACCACCTCGCCAGCTGCTATCTAAGGAGACATTTACTCTAGAAAACAGGAAAACCAAGTTTTCAAAAAAGACAAATATTGTCAACGGAGAGGTAGGCAGAGGCAGGCTTTGGCCGCCACACGTGGCCCTCACTGTCAGATGGCTACGGCCACGTCCACAGTGGCTCCCGTGGCTGCAGGGCTTGGTGGTTCTCCCCGGTACCCTTTCACGGGTTCCCTCCCTTTTCTATGGCCTCCTTGAGTCTTCTGTGACCTCACAGGGAGCTGGACTTCTCACACAGAAAGGACGTGGGAAACCAGGCAGAGTTCAAACTTGCCCTAGTTCCTGCCCAGCTGGAGCCCCCCCAAGCTCTCATGGCCCCCAGGGTGAGATTCTTAGTGCCCAGCCCCGGCCCTCTGAGAGCTGGCCTTGGAGTTCCTGAGGCTCCACCGAAGGCTGTCGTGCTGCACCCACATGCGGCACGGGCCAGTTGCCCACTCAGCCTTGGTCCGCCTGACAGAGGCCTGGAGGTCTCCTCAGAGTGCTGGATTTGTGCTTGTTTTCTGTCTGCCCTTTGCAGTTTGAGGGCCGGAAGTACTGTGAACATGACTTCCAGATGCTGTTTGCTCCGTGCTGTGGATCCTGTGGTAAGGGCCGGTGACCGTGACTTCTGTGCTGCCAGCAGGTGGGAGGGGTTGTGGGCCACACAGGACCGGCCCACCTCGGGGGCTCAACCTCTGAGGACCACGCTCCAGGCCCCATCGGGTGCCACCTGCCTGTGCCTCGGACCAGGCTGGGCTTGGGTGGGGGGTGAGAGTGGCCGGGGCTTGGGAGGGCTGTGCCCGGCCTGGCAAGCAGGGCGTCTTCTTCTCCAGGCGAGTTCATCATTGGCCGTGTCATCAAGGCTGTGAACACCAACTGGCACCCAGGATGCTTCCGCTGCGAGCTGTGTGATGTGGAGCTGGCTGACCTGGGCTTCGTGAAGAACGCGGGCAGGTGAGGAGGCTGAGGCCTGGGCAGACAGGAGGGCCCGAGCCGCGAGTGAGCCCCAGCTGCTGCTCTTCTTCCTTCTTGCGAGAGAGCAGTAACCCCAGCCCACAGCGCAGGCCGCGGCAGAGAGGGTGAGCCTGACAGGTGAAGCCCGCCCTGGACAGCGAGGGTGTAGGCGCAGGAATAGTAGCGGGGCCGTGGCAGTGGATGGACTGGGCCTCGAGTTGAGCTGACTCCCCCTGGCCACCCACGGTGTCGGCCCCTTTCCTCACCTGTACCCACACGGCTGAATGCTGGCTGACTCGGCTCTGAGTCCAGGGCCACGAACCTGGTTGGTAAGTTCTCACCCCTGCCTCGCCCCCTGCGGCCTGGCACCCTGCCACAGGATGACGGGGGCCCTGTGGGGTCCTGCTCGTCAGCTGCCTGCCCAGCAGCCCTCCCTGCACACACGCCAGATCTTCTGGTGTCTCCATGGCCCGCTGCTCCATGGCCCTGGGGGCACTGCCGAGTCCTCCCCTGTACCACACCTCCTCCCGGTGGACGCAGCTCCTCTCCGTGTGAACCCCACGACCTCGCGGTTTCCTCCAGCCTCACAGTGTACTTGGTCACACTGCTCTTCTCCCTGGTGGGTTGTTGGGGGCTCAGCCCCTCTTGTCTGCCGGTGACGACTGGGTCTCAGGCCTCTGGACAACGCCTTTGGTCAGTGCACCACGTGCCATCTGCAGATGTTCAGATGCAACAGGTCCCACACGGAGCTTTTGCAGATCTCCAGGTCTGCTCCTCCACCTGTGTCCCTGAGTCAGAACAGGCAGCACCACCTTCTAGAGACACCGTCGCCGTCTGCCTGACACCTGCCCTCTCTGGCCGCTTGCTTCCCTCCATTGGACCTTCCTGGTGTGGTCCACAGTGATCGTGTCTTCTGCACATGGCTACATGTCAGTCCTGGGGTCTACGGGGCCAGGATGGTGTCTGACATCCAGCAGGTTGTCTGTGCAGGACTGTAGGGGCCAGAGGACTGGGCCAGTGCCGATCTGCAGGGTCACAGATGGGGTGTGTTCTTGGAACGAGTCCTGTGGCTTTCCTGAATTAGGGCTTGCTCAGGGCCACTGCCCGGCTGGTTGGGAAAATCAGAGGAGGCTAAAGTGCTTTGGAAAGTAAAGCGTGGGAGGGAGCAGAGCTGCTGTAGTGATGGGCAGGGCAGCACCTGCAGTGCTGAGTGCGGAGCCGTTCTTGGGGCCCTCCTGGCCCTGGCTGGCCCATAGAACCCCACCATGTGGGACTTCGGAGTCTGTGTGAGGCAAGGACCCCTTAGGGCCGCCAGAACCGCTGCACGGGAGCTGTGGTGCTGCTTCTGTCTCTGACCGTTTGCCAATCTCAGGCTGAAAGGAAGAAAGTTTTGGGGAGGGCATCACACTGAGCAAATAACAGCCTTCTTCATCTTAAAGCTGCGGTTATGTTTGCGATCAGCGCTGACAAGTACACAAAGGATGTTAGGGAGATGCACACACGCTACCGAGCGAAAGCGCAAAGAAGGGCCAGCCTCTTGGGAGAGAGTGGGGCTTAGGGTGCCCCTGCCGGGCCTGGGTTAGTGGGAGAGAGGTTCCCACACTTGCCCCTGCCTGAGCTTGGCTCCTGGTGACTGTCCACTGTGCCGTGTGCTCGGTGAGGCCACTTTCTCCTGCCGAGGCGCTCAGGACGGTCAGGGTACAGCCAAGTCTGTGTGGGTTTATAGCAGGTGGATCAGGAACTCAGTGCCGAGCTGGACCGCGCTTGCGTGGTGTCACACGGCAAGCCGTCCGAAATACATTTACGGCATTGGGCTGTAGTTTAGTTTTCGTCCCCTAAACTCAGCAGGGTCATCTGGCAAAGGCATCCCAAAGGGACCTCAAGAAACCTTACACTTTAAAGGAAATATTTGATGCCTTTCCCCTGCCACTCCACTGGGACCCACGGTGCCTCTTCTCCCGGGCCCCGTGCAGCCCTGCGTCTTTCTGCAGGGCTTTTCTGTGGTGGGAAGGAGGCTTCGAGCCTGGTGGGCGAGAAAGGAACCCTGGCCCCTCTTATGAGGGCAAAGTGCCCGAGATCTGGGTGCTTTGTTTAGCAGGGCCAGTGCGGTCCCTGAAGAGGGGTGGCTATTCAGTCTCCTCTTTCTAAGGCTTTGCTTGTGGTTAAGACTGAGCTTGGGGCTGGGGGACTTTGGGGTTCCGACCTTGGAGGGAGGGGCCGGAACCCGCTGAGATTTCAGGTTCCTCCGCAGAGGTGCATGGGAGACGGTGGGATTCCCTTGCCCCGTCAGGTGGCACACGCCCCTAAAGTTGTGAGCCAGGGGCAGTGCCTTGCGACTCACAGCTCTGATCTGGCACTCAGGGAACTCTCAGTTTTCCCCTCAAAGCTGGCGGGTGGGCCTATGAGCCTTTTGCCACAGAGCAAGTTGCACAGAGTGTGGCGGAACTTCTCGGCCACAAAGAAGTACATGACGGGGTCCAGGGCCCCGTTTAGGCTGGTGAGGCAGGAGGTGATGCGGTTGCCCAGGGCCAGGATGCGCTGAGCGGTGCAGGAGGTCTGGCCGCTGCTGTAGTGCAGCACGTAGACAGAGCGGTGCACATGGTAGGGCACAAAGCAGATCAGGAAGATGGCCAGCACGATGGCGATCATGCGGACGGCTTTGCCCTTGAGGCGCTTCTCCACTCGGGGGCCCTGCCGCAGGCTGCGGATGATCAGCAGGTAGCAAGTGATGGTGGTGACAAACGGAAAGGTGAAGGCCACAGCCAGGGACGCGAGGGCATTGTGGGAGGCCTTCTCCCGGTACAGCTGCAGGCACACCACCGTGTGGTTGGTCTGCACCGTCTGAGGGCTGACCAGCAGCGGGGCCATGGCCACGGCCACCACCACCCACAGGAATGCGCAGGCCAGGTGGGCGTAGAAGGGCCTGCGCAGCTTGAGGGACTTGACCGGGTGCACGATGGCCAGGAAGCGGTCAGCGCTGATGCAGGTGAGGAAGTAGATGCTGGCATACATGTTGAGGTAGAAGAGGAAGCCAGTGAGTCTGCATGGGATCTCCCCAAATGGCCAGTGGTTCCCGGAGAAGTGGTAGACGAGGCGGGTGGGTAGGACTAGCACGCAGGATAGGTCGGCCACTGCCAGGTGCATGAGGAACACGTTGGCTGGGGTGCCTGACTTGTGGTCCCGGATAAAAAGCCACAAGGCCAGGGCATTGCCCACGAAAGCCAGGATGAAGTCCAGGAGGTAGAAACAGGCGAACAGCATGTTCTCCAGTGGCGTCTCCTGCCCACATTGCTCCGCGGTGGCCGGAGAGGAGATGTTGGTCAGACTCAGGGAGGCCACCTCTAGCCCATTCATGCTGTGGCTGGAGCAGAGCTGTGGACGGGCCTAGAGGGAGCAGCAGACAGGTGAGGGTGACCCCGGGTCAGAAGTGAGCCACTGAGCCTTCAGCACCTCCTGACCCTGATTTGAGGAGAGCAGAGCTACTCCAGGACCGGCATTATCAATGGGCCTACTCGCTTCCTGCGTGAATGAGGTAAGTAGAGACAAGAACCATGCCCCAGGCCTGGGCTTGGAGGTCCCTCACCGTACAGCGCAATCCTTGCTGAGCAGGTGAGGGCCTAGGGCTGCGGTGGCCCCAAAATCTAAAGTTCTTCCCACCCTGCACCCTTATCTACTCCCTCGGCACAGTGGAGGGGAGGAGCAGTGAGCCCCGCCGTCCGAGGCTCTGGCAGGAAGACGAGGGCCCCACATTTTCTGTTCCACACCCAGATGTGCTCTTGGAGCCCCTGAACCCACAGCTGCTGATGTGGACGTAGGGTCTGTTCCCGAGAACCGCTTGCATGGAGTTTGCCAGTTCCTTGCCCTCAGCTGCTAGTCCTGAGCCCAGGACCCTCCCTACCCTGCCTGCCTGGGAGTTCTCAGCAGTTGCACCCCTGCAGGGACCAGAGTGTCACTAATTTCTGCTCCCTGCTGCATCGATCCTTGGGTCTCCACCAGGAGTGCAGAGGGGGCAGTGTCCAGGGAGAGGTCAGGCCTGCTCTGTCCACCTGCACCGGAGTCCCCGTACCTCCTGGGAGCTTTCTGCACTCACCCACAGCTCCACTTTGGATGTCCTAGCAGTGCAGACCTGGCCTTAGCCTGTGCCACAGGCCCGCAGGTCTGTTTTCCCATGCAGGGGTGCTGTACAGCCAAGGGTGGGATCTTCTCACTGAGGGATCTTCAGAGCAGTGAGACTTGCCAGGATTTTCCTCTAGAGATCTGCAGCCCTGAGAGGTCTGGGAGGCCACTGGGGTGCTCACTACTGTAGACCGAGCCCAGAAGCCTGCTGGTCTTGGTAACTCGCCATTTCTACAAGACCTGGGCAGGGGACTCCCTACCCCTTCCCAGCAGGAAAACCCACTTGTCTTGGGTTTAGTTCATTTGAGAGATCTGAGGAAGAAAAGAGTGGTCCCCAGCCCCCTACCTTCCCCTCGGCCTGCAAGTGGGGATGTGGACTGGGCAGATGGTAGAAGCAAAGCAGCTGTATCGTGCGGGCAGACATTGGGGGTTTGGGGTAGGGTTAGGAAGCTGTTGGGCTGGGGATGTAGCTCAGTGGTTCTGCTGCCTACCTTGCAAGTATAAGGACCTGAGTTCGATTCCCCATACCAAAAAAAAAAAAAAAAAAAAAAAAAAAAAAAAAAAAAAAAAAAAAAAAAAAAAAAAAAAAAAAAAAAAAAAAAAAAAAAAAAAAAAAAAAAAAAAAAAAAAAAAAAAAAAAAAAAAAAAAAAAAAAAAAGGGAAGCTGTTGCCAGGCCTGACCCCATCAGGAAGGCTGTTCAGTACCTGAAGGAGGGGCTTGCCTGTGATCGCCCCCACTGTCCGGGGTGGGGTGTTGGTTACTTTTCTCTAGATGCTGAGACAAAATACCTGACACCCAAAGTTAAAGGGGAAAGGGTTTATTTAGCTCACAGTTCATCATGTGATGGTGTAGTAATCACATGCCCTTAGCCGCAGCCTCACATTCCAGATCCAGGCCCAACTGAAAAAGAAAGCCCCCACCTCATCTGCATGAGGCTTTGGGGGACAGCTAAACACGAGCTGTAACATTCTGCCCCTGGCCTCCCAAAGACTTGTGCACATTCCTTTATGCAAAAAATATTTAGTCCATCTCTGAGAGCTGTCAAAGTCCTCACAGTTTCAGCTATTGCTGAAAAGTCCAAGTCCCAAGTCTCCTCTGAGTTTTAAGGTAAACCCTTAGCTGCAAGCCCTCATACAAATGGAAAGTTAAAGGTTTCCTACACGCAATGGCACAAGATAAACGTTTCCATTCCTAAAGTTACGGCGGGTGGGATACACAGCAGTGGGACCAAAGCGAGACCAAAATTCAGCCGAGCAGACCTTAAATCCCACAGTTCCACTTCCAGCATCCCTGGCAATCTGTGGCAAGCTGGAAACTCCAGGGGCTGTGGGTGGCTCTGCCCTGTCACTGCCCGTGGATGTAGCTCCCTCGGCTTCTGTTTGGGGCTGTTCTGCTGTCTCCTTGCAGTTCTCCTCAGATGTTCCATGCTCCTGGATTCTCTACCGTTCTGGGGTCTCCACCGCCCCTTCAGCTTCACTCTCACGGCGCACACGGCCCTCTCAGGGGCCCTGCCTGGCCTCCCAGGCCTTCTTCTGAAATCTGGGTGGAGCCTTCCTGACCCCACAGCTCCTGCATTCTGCATGCGCCTAAAATCAGCGCCATGTGGAGGACGCCAAGGTCTGCAGCCGGCTGGAGCAGTAGCCAGGCTCCTTTCTCTCTGAGCGGTAGGGGTCAAGAGCCTGGATCGCTGCGCACTCCGAAACCAACCCAAGGAACAACTTCTCTAGGTAGCCGCCATTCTGGAAATGTGTTCTGGGGCTTGCATCTCAAAGCCAAATATTTTACCTTTACAACTCTGAGGCTGCAAAGGGTGGAGCCCTGCCGCTTCTGTGATGCCCTCAGGCCATCTTTTCTATTGTCTGGTTTCTTCTCGGCAGTCACGATGTCCTGTGCTCTATCTTCGCTGCCGATGCCTTGCCTTCACCCACAGAGACTTGATGGTAAAACACTTTCTGGGTTGTTTCTGCTTGGCTAGGGTTTCTCCCTCTGTTTCTGCCCCCATCTAAGGGGTTTAGGCTCCTGCTTCTCTGTCCTGTGTCCCTTAGAAATCCCAGCCTGGTCCTGAACTTGCTGGTTCTCTGCTCAGGCTGCCACCGAGCATGAGTCTGAGGAGAGGGTGGGCGGGGCCCGGCAGACCCTTATCACTCTGAAGGCTCCTGGGGAGTCCAAACCAGGGGCTAACTTTGGAAGCTGAGATCTTTACCATCTCTGAAGTCATTTAGGGAAAACTTTCTCTCAATTAGTAAAGATATCTGCCCATACTAGGAGGCACTGTGTCACTTTACTTTGGGCATGTGGGTGAAGTCTATTCATCAGTCCTTTCCCGGAGAGTCCCCACTTTGTTGGCTACCAGGGAATGTGATCTTTTTATTAGGTGGGTTACTTTTTTTTTTTCAGAGTCTTGCTATGCAGTTCAGGCTGGCCTTGAATTCAATATATAGCCCATGCTGCCCTCAAACTCACAGCGATCCTCCTGCCTCAGCCTCCTGAGTGCTGGGATTACAGGCGTGCGCCACCAGGCCTAGCTGAATGGGTTGTTTTCTAAAATAAAAGTGCCTGGGTGAAAGGCTGTTAGGCTGCTGTTAGGCTGCTAGGTCGGCAGTCAATTTCCTGCGTGACCTCATCCGTTCCCTTGTGGGACCCTATGTCACAGTGCGTAACCGGCTCTCGGATGGGAAGTAGAGGATAGGTGGGAACCTACTGCCCTGTGGAATTTAGCAGGGATCTGCTTGCTGGTGGACCTGCCCCCACGCCAGCGTGTCTCACCGTGAAATATATTTTGAGTCAGTGTAAATATTAATCCTTTGGCCTTTACTGAGCTCAAGTGCTCTGGTAAGTGCTATGAGCTAATTTTAGGAGTCAGAGGGGAACTTTTAAGGGTGGCCTGCAGTTATTATAGCACATCCTTCCTTTTACAACCCGTTTATGTTGCGCATGAGCTTCTGTCACAGAAAAGAATCATGCCTGGGTTAGCCGCGGAGGACTGGGGGGTCCTTTTTAGCTGGGCAGGTGGGAGGATTCCCTGTTTCCTTGACGTTGGGGGCACAGGTCTCTAGTTGGGCAGCTGTTCCTTCCAAAAGACGTGCCTGGTATTCAAGAAGCATTTATCTGAGAGTCATAAGCTCCCTCTGGGAGAAGTCTAGTCACATTACAAGGAGTAAAAACAGTAAGAACCTTTCCTAGGGCTGGTATAAAAGCTTCTGGAACCGGAAAGGCCACTGCGACCACTGCTTAGAGACAGGCTGGCCATCCCTCACCTACTGTGCCCAGTTGTTGGTTTAAATATCCTGCCATCCATTTTGTAGGCCTCAGTCTTAGGCTGAGACTCTTGGGTCATTGAATTTTTCTCAGAAACGTATGTTAAAGTGTTGTCCCATGAGGAGACGATGTAGGAGCAAGTAAAATGTTTGAGCTTTTGAAAAACCTGTTGAGTTTTTCCTAGCATTTGGGAGACTGAGGCAAGAGGATTGTCATGAGCTCAAGGCCAGCCCTGGTCACATAGTGACCTCAAGGCCAGCCAGAAATACATAGCGAGACCTTATCTTGAAACAAACAATCGAACAAACAACAAAGAAAGGCCCGTTTAAAGCTTGGTTCCCAAATTAAAATATGAGTATTAGATTTTTTAGATTTTTTGATTAATAAAGGGGTCTTGCTATCTTGCTGTAACCTTGAATTCAGAGATGGCTAAAGCTGGTGATGCCTCAAATCTCCTGAGTGGTTGTTGGTTTGCGGAGGGGACAGGAAGGTGTTGCTTTAATACACCTTGCCCCTGACCTTTGAGTTCTGTTGGAGAGAATTAGGCTAAGGTGTTTTACAGAGGGGCTATAGACTTGGGCCTTAGATCAGAAACTTTATATCACCTCTTGGTCAAACAGTTTAATAACGCTTGGGTACCTTGGCTTGAGCGTTGTTAAGAACGGGCACTTGAAAAGGTATCATCCACATTTTGAAGGACTCTAGTCTATGGATAAAGTGGGACAATCTTGGGAGAAAGCTTGTCCAAATAAGTGAGGCTTCCTCTAAACCCTTGGGGCAATACAGTACAAGTGAACTGGAGATCTTTAGATGCAAAAAGAAACTGACTCTGCGTGGAGAGGTGTGTAGAAGACAATGTGTCATTTTACTGATTGATTGACTGGTTGGTGCTGGGGATCGAACTCAGGTCCTTGCACTTGCGAGGCAGACAGGGGAACCACTGAGCTAAATCCCCGGTCCAAACTACCTTTTAAATCTAAAACTGTAACCACCCAGCATCTTCAGGAGTCTGGGTTAGAATGGTACAGGTCGGGCACCACCACCTCATCTATTAGTCAGAGATCTTGAGCGAGTCCCCACTGGGCTTTTGAATGTCCTAAACAGGAGTCCTTTGAGGGCTACTGTAGTGTCTGAGGAGGCCTTGGGCCTGTCAGTTGTTGATTGCAGGCTGTAATCTCTTTGTAGCTTCCGTTCTCAACAGGTACTGTCTTTGGTGAGGAAAGGGAGTAGGGTCTTTTAGATGAATGAGTATAGATGTTGTCCCTATAACCTGTCCTTTAAACAAAACAAAAAAATCAGCCCACTCTTCCAGATTAACCACTCGGGGGAGGCAGAGCACTGATTTTGGATGGCATTTAGATGAGATAAGATGTCTCGTCCCAGCAGGGCATTTGAACTTTTTGGCATAGTCAGAAGGCGCGAGATAATAGAAAATTGTCCCCCAACGCTTGGTTCTCCATTGTCAGCAGCCGGTGGAGTTGCTGAAGGACCTGACTTTCTGCCCTTTCCGGTCCCTGTGCGTCCCCTTCCCTTTGAGCCCTTGGCTCGTAGTGGATGTCGGCTCCTCCTCTGTCAGTCCCCAGTTAACACGGCTCTGAGGACAGAATTTGGCTGTCAGCCTGGCAACATGTTTGGGAGAGAATTCATGACGGGAAGGCCAGTCCTGTGGAGACCAGGGGCTGTGGCTATTAGCTCCCTTAACATCTGTCTTCCAAAGCTGTCATTAAACCCTTAGGGTCTCTAAAACTGTTTTTGTTCAATCAGTGAAATGATCTGGTTGTAATGACCCCACCTCAAAAGAGTAATAGTTTTCCTTTTTTCACTATGAGCACAGATGTTGGGTAAACACCTCACCAGGCAATTATTCCTGGGTGGGCCGCGGAGGAGGGACGGGAGAAAAGCCTGACCCAACAGTAACTCTGGGGCTGGGGAGCTTATCCGTCAGGCTGGGCATTGTCTCCCCAAACCGCACTACACCAGTGGTAGAAAGACCACTTGGATTAAAAGCTTTCTTAGGGCCGGTCTCTGGGCTTTAGTAAAATAAGCCTCTGGAAAAATGAAAACGAAAAGACGGAACAGCAAGAGGAAGTCAGAGCTGAGAGGTCATGGTAGTGAATGAGATTTATCCTCATCAGTGCTTGTGGGAGTTAACAGAACGACCAGCCCAGAGCCACAGAGGCTGGAGACCCTGTGGCAAGAGCTGACGGTGCTCCCTCACGAGTGGAGGAGCAAACTGGAAAGGAAGTGGAGACAGAGTAGGCCCCACATTCCCGTCCAAGCGTGGGTCAGGTCACACTGCCCCAGTGAAACCTGTTCTCCGAAACTGACAACAGCAGCTGGTGCTAATCACTTTTTAAAAATTGGTTGACAGGGCCCTGTTTTATTGGTTCTGTTTCTGAGACAGGGTCTCCCTATGTAGTTCAATCTGACCTTGAACTGGTGGCAATCCTCCTGCCTCAGCCTCCCAAGTGCTGGGATTATAGGCAGGTGCCACTGTGCCAGGCTTGTCCTGTTTTTTTGTTTTTTGTTTTTTGTTTTTTTTTGAGACAGGGTCTCACTATGTAGTTGAGACTGACCTGGAACTCACTATGTAGCCCAGGCTGGTCTCGAACTCACAGTGATCCTCCTGCCTCAGCCTCCCAAGTGCTGGGATTACAGGCATGCGCCACCATGCCCGGTTTGTCCCGTGTTTTTATAGGAGGCAAATTGTTCCCCAGTCTGTTCAAACACCAGGGAAATAGCAGCAGAGACATAGGCTATCCAGTAAGAAGACAGACTGCCAACCTTAGCTACCTCCTAAACGCGATCATGGGTAACAAGAGCATATGGCAAATGGAGGAAAAAAAGGAAAAGGACAAACGCTCCCTGACTAGGGCCTTACGTCCTCCTGTCAGTCTCGCTGAGCCCTCCAAATCTGAAATTGTTATCTCTGTACTAACTGTAACACTGACCGTGTTGCCTTGTGGAGTTGAAAAACAGACTTGTGGACAAAAAGGAAGAAGTTAGGAGAGTGTTTCCTGGAAGTAAGAAGAGAAAAAGTAGCTCCTGGTGGGTATCCAGGAGGTCCCCAGGGGCTCATCTCTCGGCCCCCAGGTCTGGAACCTTTCTGGGTAAGTGGCACATGTAAACGGCTCAGTTGTTTAGGGACCGCTTGTCCCAGGCAGCTCTGCGGGTTTGAAAATGACCAGTTGACTTCAGGCTCTCAACCAGCCACTGAGAGTGCAGGGTTTAAAGGAAACTGAGATCGTAGAGACTCAGGACGTAGCAGGGAAAGGCTGCAACGCACTTCACAGGGACCAGCTGCATCCCATGTCGCCGGAGGAAACCACTCTTGGTCAAAGGCCTGGTCCACTGCTTTTTTTTTTTTTTTTTTTATCGAACGCGGGTCCTTGTGCTTGCAAGGCAGGCGGTGGAACCACAGAGCTAAATCCCAGCCCCACTGCTTTTGTTTTAAGTGTGGCGACCTCCTCTCTCACACCCCGCCCCCGCTAGCCGCCTGCTCACTAGCTAGCTAACAAAATGGCCTTCCGCACGGGTCGGGCCTCTGCACGGGCCTTCTGCCCATGGCCTGAGCCCTGCTTCTGAGTCTCCTTCGTCTGCTGCCCTGGTGTCCAGCAGTGTGGGCGCAGGCTTCCCATGTGGGACTGCGGACCGATCCCATGCCGTCCATCAGCCCCAGCCGGACCTAGGGACCCAGCCGATGTGTGGGCTGCTGAGAGTTCAGCCGCGGTCAGCCTCCACCGCATGGCTGCCCCGGGCACAGACGGGGAGGCAGCCCCTCGTGCCGGGTGCCGCCTCGGCCGGGCCTGGCTCTCTGTCGCGCACACCCGGCCCCACCCCTTACCTCTTGCAGCTGGTCCAGCAGAAGGGCAGGAGTCTGAGCCCGGTGGTGCTGGTGGTGCTGGCAGTGGGCTGTGCTGCTGCGAGTGGAAGGCTGGCTATTTAAGAAGAAGAGGGGAGGCTGCAGCCCCTCTGGGCCTGAAAGGCTGCTTCGTTCCGGAGGGGTCCCTTATGGGCGGGCTGTCTTCTGCTGCCACAGGGCCCGTGAATATTCCAGTGTGTCCCCAGCCTGTGCACCGCGCCCCACCCCCCGCCTGGCCCCTGGGTGTCACAGAGGCCGAGTGTGTGCCTGTCTCGGGAGCCTGGGAGTGGGCGAAGCTGGGCCGGGTGGGGGCTCTGGTGGAACCGACTGACACAACGGGGCGTTTGAGAAGGGGATGAGTCCGTACAGTGGGGGCCGGGGGAGGGGGGACCAGCCGCCATGGCAACCAGCCGCACTCCCGGGCCGGCTGCGGGGCTGGGGAGCAGGGTGTCCTGAGTGCCCGGGGTGGGAGGCTGAGGAGTTTTGTTCCGCGCGATGAGAGAGGATTCTTTCAGGATACTTGCTGTAGGGTCCTGTGTCCTGCCCCGCATAATTAGGCCCCATTTGGGCACGCAGAATAAATCATGGCCTTTATGTGGGGCCGGCCACAGCTGCAGGCTGCTTCATAATGGGGGCGCTGTCTGTCCCGTGGGGAAGCCCCTCAGCCCGCAGGCCTGGCCTGTGCCCGTGTGTGCACCTCCTCGGCACAGAACAGCCGTCACGGGAGCTACTGCGGCCCACCGAGCGCTGGACTCCGCTGCCCTTCCTGGGGTGGCTCGAGCCAGGTGCATTTCGGCGGTACCCGTGGACCAAGTGGACCAAGCCCATCTCCCTGTTGCCCTCCAGAATAATATACTGGGAACCGAGTCATCAGCATTCCTAGTTTCAAAAGACTTTTACATTTTTTAGTGACAGCATTAAAACTGTATGGAGCTACCACATGCACTATCTTAGTCTTTTCACATAACCATGCTGTTTGACAGACTGGGAAACTGAGGCTCAGGGAGGCACAGTAGCTCACCCAGCTGTAAACACTAGGAGGGGGTGGGGCCAGGTCAGGGACCCAGGCACGTGTCACTGCACAGGCTGCGGCTCTGTATGTGCGCGTAATCTTTTTGGTTTTTGTTTGTATTTTCTTCCTGGCACTTCTCAAGGCTTCACTTGATTCCACCTGAAAAATACTTCTGAGGGTTTCTTTTGGATGTGGTGTTGGAATCAGATCTGTCCTGAAGCCATTTCCCATTTGGGGTTTCTGCGAAAGCTTCATCTTCCCAACCTGTCCTGCCTGGAAACGGTAGAGTGTGGGCTTCCAAGCTGGTGTAGGGGTCACTTCCCTCCGTGCCCCGTGAGGGGCTGCAGGAACTGCCTCATGCTGCTTGCCGATGTGGGTGTGTGAACCTGGCTGCCATGACCCGCTGGTTTCTGGGTTCAGATGGACCTTTCTTCCTTCCTCCCTCCCTCCCTTGGGAGGCCAAGAAGTTAAGGGGACTCAGTTGCTCTCCTACTTGGATCTCTGTGGCCCTGCCAAGCATCGGGCCATCTTAGCCCTTCTTCCTTAGCCCGGCGGGGCTCGGCGGAGAGACAGGCCTTTCCCACAGCGGCACACACTTCCTCATCTTCGCTGGCCTCGTTTTCGGGGGTGGGTGTTTCCCGTCCTAGCTCAGCTCTCAGAATCTTCTCTTTTTCTCCCGCCTTTAATGTCCCACTGAAACATCCCAAATGAGTCTGAAGAGGGAGGTGACTCTCAAAGGCTTGGACGTAGAATCAGGATCATTTGTGAAACTTCCCGACTTTTCCTAGCTCAGCCCGTCTGTGACTGGAACGGAGAGACATCCAGTTAGCAGCTGGCCTGTGGGGCTTGACTCCAGGACACGGGGGTGTAGATCCCTGGCTGGGGCCTTAAGGTTGGATCCCTCCCCACTGAGACAAGGGAAGGGGATTGGTCCCAAAGCAACTAACAAAGGAGAGCCAACGGAACGCTGAGACATCCATTCAGGATGGTTTCCGAGAAAACAAACAAAGAAGCAAACAAAAAACTGGACATAAGCCACTAACCCTATTTCCTTCCTTCTTGCAAAACAGATCTAATTGTCGTATGGTGTTGTAATTTATACCCTCCCTGCAAGTTGGCCACCTTTCTTGGTCTCCTCATGGGTACCCTAGCCAAGCCCTACTACAGTAAAAGATAAGGGCCTTATTTTCCTCAGACTTTGGGAATCTAACTCTCTCCAGTGTTTAAGAAGACGCTTCAGAGGTGAACGTGGTGGATTGTTCAGTCCCCATCTACACAAAGAGAAAGACTGAGTGAGTGTGAGGGGCTCTTTATCTCTGGGTGTCCCCTGGCAAAGACTCCCTCAATTCCAGGTTGAAATGGGGAGGAAAGGCTGGCCAGGCTCCAGCCGGCCCTGCTGCAGGTTTCCACCTGGACATTGCTCTTCCTGCTCTGCAAAGCTGAGACAGGACGTCTTCTATTCCACCAAGTGCAGCCTCCAATTCCCTCCCTGGCCCTGCCATTGGGATTTATCCACAGTTACCTTCCTGAGGGTTTAGGGCAGTGTCCACGCTGAGTCTTTCTCTCTCTGGGAAACTGGACCAGGGCTGTGTAACCCCTCTTGTGTTCCATCATGACGAGTGCGCCATGTCTCGAATCCCAGCTCCAGCGGCTCTTCCCCTTAAGGGGGCTGAGATAGCTGTGAAAACTCTGTGATTGCTTCTGCTGCATGAGAGCGATGCAAGTTTTAGGACAAGAAACAATCACTTTATTGGAAAAGGGAGAAAATAAGGAGATAGATAGCTTGCTGCCTTAGCCCACACTCAGGGGTCTTTGTTCTTAGCCTCCCTGATTCCATGGCAGGAAAGGGAGACCCCTGGAGGTTGTTCTGGGCTCTGAGATCCGTGATCCGGCCACTGCCCCTGCACTGGCTATGTGTGCGTTCTTGGGTCAGCACTTTGGTAGTCTCTGGGTGCGGGCCAGGTGTGTATCTGGAGATTTACGGCAGAGTTATAGTCCACGCTGAATTAGTCAAAGGGTTACGTGCGCATTTCAGTGGACTAATGTTGTGAAAGAACGATAAAACACCTGCATACTTATTATACATAGGTGTGTGTGTCCAGGCAGTAATGTGCATTTTATATACTAATTGAGGTTTGTTTTTATTTTATAATCTAGCCCCCTCCTCCCTTTGTTTCTTTTGTGCTTAACTGGAGGGGAGGTAAGAGGGAACTGAGCCTTGGCATGAAGCAGCCCAGGCCAGGGCCCTTATCAACTCTCTCTGTTTTTCTTAGCTTCTCTCTCTCTCTCTCTCTCTCTCTCTCTCTCTCTCTCTTTCAGGGGTTTAACTATTTTTTTGCCAGAAACCTCACTGAGCCCAACTTCCCTCATCTGTTCCCCAACTTTCCCTGCCCTCCCTTCCCTTTTCCTTTTTTTTTCTTTTTAGTGCAGTGGTTACCACTGAGCTAAACTCCAGGCAATTTCTGTAATTCAAATGACCCCTGATAGTAGCTTCAAGGGCAAATAACCACTGCGATAGAATTCTGGGGAGCCAGGCTCCCCAACAGTTATTCTGTAGTGGCCCCAGAGTGTCTTCATGCAAAGAAGAGTCCTAGATTGGGAGTGTGGTGAGGAATAAAGCCATGCATGGCTGTGGCGAGGCTTGGGAGGAGTAGCATGTTGGCCACAGTGGTTGGTTCAGCCCTGGGCTTCCATGCAGTGGGCTGGGTGGGCACCAGGTCACAGGTGTTTGGGGGGCTGTGCTCCACGGATGTGGTGAAGGCCACAGCCACAGACACCTCTGCTGCCCGCTCTGGGGTAGGAAAATCCATGGTCCGGGCCAGCAGGCTGTTTTTACAGCGAGGCGAGGCTCACTGTCTCTCCTTCCTCTCTTGCACCATCGTGTACTTAGTCACACACTCAACACGGTGGTCTGGAGCCACCGCCCTGGGCTGGGCCCCTGGAGTTCGGCTCCCCCGCATCACACACCTACTGGGAAGATGAGATGGGGGGGGGAGAAAAGGACAGCGCTACTGGCCGGAGGGGCAGAGAGAGCAGCAGGGCGGGGCTGGGGATTCCAAGGCGGTGCCTGGCCTTCTGGAGTCCGCCTGCTATCACTGGTTGGAGGATTTAAGCAGAGCTGGTCTCTTGTGTAAACTCCTGTTAAAGAGGCTTGTGCTCAGGTTGCTGTGGAGGCTGGTACAGGGGAGAGGGGCGCGCCCTGGATTGGGGGCCCAGGAAGGGAGAGCTCGGCTGCATCTGGAGCACACGAGATCGGAGTGAGGGTGGGAATCAGGACCCCGGGCTGCTGGATCAGGGTCTTGTTCATCTTTGCCAGGGGATTCAGGGTATAAATTCTTGCCACCTTTGAGAGCCAAGAAACAAACGGCGTTGATGTCTGTCTCAGTTGAGACCACAGCTGTTGCCTGGTGCAAGGAGTAGCATCAGAAATGGCTGTGGCCTTCATAAAAAAGGACCCTGAAATGCTGGTCTGGGGCCTCTGTCTGACAGCCATGCTTGTACCTGGGGACAGAAAGTGCCCGTAGGCGTTAGAGCTCCCTTCGTCTGGCAGACCCCAAAGGGAGGGGTGAGTGGGGGCTGCATGGCCCGGTGCTTATTGTTCTGCTGAGTATGGGGCCCCCAGGCTCATATTCACGGGTGCTTATTGTGTTAAAAGACATTTGAGAAGTAAGACTGATTTTTCAGAAAATGTCAGCTAAATATCTGTTCTATTCCACACAATAGCCAAGGCTCAGGAAAAGTAGAAAGAGGAAATCTAAAGACAGCAACAATGAACATTCTGGTATATTCCAGTCTCCCCTCAGCACTGGTTTCCTTGCTTTGACAAGATGTGCTGAAGGTATACGGTGAATGTTTAATTAAAAAAAAATCTGTCACAGTAAAAGACACATTAATCTCCCTCAAAATCTTCCTCCTTGCTTCAAACACATTTATTTATAGGGTCAGAGCTGCCGCCGAGTGCCGTCTCACACAGGCAGGCTCATAAAGACGTGACAGCACGTCCTCACCCACCCCATCCACTCAGTCTGGCACTGTGTGACTCTGGGCTCTTCCCCAAAGTCAGAACTGCCTTGAGAGGTAAACGTTCCGGTTCAGGATATCAGTGCAGCCACAAAAGACACTCCCAAGAGAAGACTCCAGAGCTGCTCCAAGTGTCAAGAACAATGGGACGAGTGTGTCAGAAGCTAGGGAGAGTGTTTTGGGGAGGATTCATGGCAACGTGTCTTTCTCTGTGATGAAATATTTTGAGTTTAAGTACTTGCTGTGTTTTTGGGTTATACCTCATAGATGAGGACCTCTGGCCTTCTGGCTTTGTGGTCAGGCAGCTTACTTTTCTACACTCTGGGCCGGGAGCCTTTGGAGCCCCTGGCCCTTGCCAAGGCCAGGAGGGATCCTGGCTCTCTTCTCCTGGAAGTGACCTGGGCTATCTTGGGAGGAGGAGCAGGAGGTGGCAGCCCGTCCCTAACACAGCCTTGGCCTCCTACAGGCACCTCTGCCGGCCTTGCCACAGCCGTGAGAAGGCCAAGGGCTTGGGCAAGTACATCTGTCAGCGGTGCCACCTGGTCATCGATGAGCAGCCCCTCATGTTCAGGAGCGACGCCTACCACCCAGACCACTTCAACTGTACCCACTGTGGGTAGGTGCCCCGCCGGCCCCTCCAGTCGGAGGTGGAGGGCAGGGCCGTCACAGAGCAGGGGCCATGATGTGGCAGGAGAGGTTAGCCAGTGTGCAGACAGGATGTCCAGAGTGCTGGGTGCAGAGCTACCAGGCAGATGGAACGGGGTTGGAGGCCACAGAAGAAAGCTCGCTCTGCAGAGCTGCTCAGGGGAACAGACTGCACGGACGCCCGCCGAAATGAAGTGGACAGCAAGGGGTAGACGGAGTGAGGCTGAGCTGGTGCTGGAGAGGGATGCGGGGAAGAGAAGATCCAAAGCTGTCCCCTTGGGTCCCTTTCATGCCTGTCCCAGACACCCGGTCTGGTTTGAAGGAGGAGGAGGAGGCCTGAGAACAGACCTGCTTCTCAGAGGGATTGGGGGACAGAACACAGGCGTCCTTCTGCCAGGCCTGTGCGGGAAGTCTCTGCTCCAGGGCCTGTCTGGGCACACACAGGAAGTCTCTAAAGAGGCCAGAGATCAGAGTGAGCCGCCTGCTTGCCTGAGTGGAGTCTCTCAGAGCCTGGGGCCCTTGGGCTGGAGGGGCTGGGGTGGCACTTGGGGGCTCCTGCTGTCTTCCAGAAAGGAGCTGACTGCCGAGGCCCGGGAGCTGAAGGGTGAGCTCTATTGCCTGCCTTGCCATGACAAGATGGGCGTCCCCATCTGCGGGGCCTGCCGCCGGCCCATTGAGGGCCGTGTGGTCAACGCGCTGGGCAAGCAGTGGCACGTGGAGGTGAGTTGGCCGGGGGTGCAGGGCTCAGGTGAGGGTGCCCTGGCTCCTAGCCCCTCTGTACACCTCAGCCTAAGTGGTGCCCTGGCTCCGGCAAGGACCTGCCCGTGGGAGCTTCTCTCCGGGGACCTCAGCCCATCCATGGGAACTGGGAGACCAGAGCCCCAGACCCCAGTCGGGCAGAAAGCCCACCTTTGTGTTCGGGGGAAGATTCTGGAAGATTTCAGAGTCAGGAGGAAACCTGGGGGCTGTGGTTAGCAGACTGCTATGCACACGGCCCTCTGTAGACCCGGAGCTGGCGGGCCCCTCAGGTGGAGACCTTGGACACCTGGAGCTTTCCCCAGACTGAGGGCGCTGATGCCCTGACATAGTTGGCAAAGAGGCTTGCATGTCCCAGGGGCCTGGCTGCCTCTGTCCAGGAGCTGTGCTTTGCTGGCCTGTTTGAGAAGGCCCTTCAGGAGGTTGTGGGCCACGGCGCCTGTCCCTGACCCCGGGGAGAGTGTGTCCTCACATGCAGAACTCGCACACTTCTCGGTGACCCGGCCTGGGGGACACTGGAGGGGATATCCTACTGACAGCAAGGCTGCTCCCACTCTGCGGGCTGCTCTGCCCCAGCAGGCACCTGGGGTGGGGGGCAGGCCAGGAGAGGACAGTGACATAGGGTGTCACCGTGGATGCCTTTGAGAGGGACCAGGGTCTTCTAAGTCCCTGGGCATTCACAGAGGAGGCAGCCTCTCTGCCAGCTGTGAGTCCATCTGCCCCTGCTTCCTGGCTCCTGGGGTTCCTGTTTGGCCCTGACAACCCCCCGACCACCTTCTCCCCCCAGCACTTTGTCTGCGCCAAGTGTGAGAAGCCCTTCCTGGGACACCGGCACTATGAGAAGAAGGGTCTGGCCTACTGTGAGACCCACTACAACCAGGTGGGCCAGGGCAGGCTACGGGGATGTGAGCTGAGGGTGGCTGGGAGAAGGTGGGTGGGCTGTCTGTGCCCAGGCCTTGGTCCTTGCTCAGGCTCCTGAGATGTCTCAGCTCCAGCTCTTGAGCCTCATTTGAAAAATGTACCCTTTGGCCCAGACTGTTGTGAGGACCGAACAGATGACAGTCTGGGCTTGTGGGGTGACATTGCCAGCCTCCCCTCATCCTGCTGCTGTGGTTCAGAAGGTGGGGGAGGCTGCCGGGATGGAGCCACTTCCTGAACCCCACTCTCACAGGACACTAGTGGGGGTGGCAGCCCAGAGTCATGCTGACACCCTGAGGCTGTGCCCAGAGGAGCGGCCCAGGGCCACCCAGAGGCAGAGCGTGGGCACCGGGCTGGGCCTGAGGCGACAGCTGCGCTGACAGCTTGCTCTGTCCACAGCTCTTTGGAGACGTCTGCTACAACTGCAGCCACGTGATCGAGGGCGATGGTGAGCCCCGCCCCGCCCCCACTCTGCTCTGCAGCTGTGGGCCCAGCTGGCCTTGGCTCACACAGCTGTGCCTGTGCAGGGCCCGCTAAGCCGCCTCTCCCCTCACAGTGGTGTCGGCCCTCAATAAGGCCTGGTGTGTGAACTGCTTCTCCTGCTCCACCTGCAACAGCAAGCTCACCCTGAAGTGAGTTGCCGCCTCTCCAGCTGAGAGCAGCGGCAGGGGCTCCTCATAGCTGCTCTCTCCTCAGCCCAGGAAGATGGGGGCAGGCGTAGGGACCCAGGGCGCGAAGACGGGTGGTAGCACACCTGCAGGGACTCTGGCTCGATGGGGGGAAGGACGTCCCAGCCCGGGGAACAGCAGATGCAAAGAAAGTATGTCTGACATCTAGCTGTCGCAGGAAGTCTGGGGGCCGGGCAGCTGTGAGAGATGAGGTAGAACCCAGGTTTTCAGGGGCCGCAGAAGACTTGGAGCATCGGAACCCGAGAGGAGCCCGTAGGCAAGAAGGGCTGTCTGGGCTGCCTGCCGACGGGAGCAGCCGAGGGTGGGTGGCAGAAGGAGCCCGCTGCTCTGCCTCTGGGACACCATCAGAGGTCAGGGCCGGGGCACAGACTGCTGTTCACTGCAGGAACAAGTTTGTGGAGTTTGACATGAAGCCCGTGTGTAAGAAGTGCTACGAGAAGTTCCCGCTGGAGCTCAAGAAGAGGCTGAAGAAGCTGGCGGACCTCACTTCCCGCAAGGCCCAGCTGACGGCTGTGGACGTGAACTCCGCCTGAAGGCTCCCGCCCTCCCAGCTGCCCACTGGCCGCCTCCCAGCACCTCCGCTTCGGTTTCCTGCTTGTTCCTGTAGCTCCCCGTCCCCCTTCCTTCCCCTTCGCCAGCCCCTGTCTCCCTGCCTGGGTCGAGTCTGGCCTACACCTAACAGCCGCTTTGCGGTCCACACGAGCCCCAGGGACGGGAGCAAACGGGGCTGGGTTGCCCGCTCCCTGCTTGGAGCACAGCTGCCCGCCTACCCGGCTGACCCATCGCTCCCACAGGCCCTGGTGACACCCACCGCCCTGGGGAGCACTGTGGCCCTGGTGTATGAACCTGGGGGCCCAGCCCGTGCAGGTGGAGGCCTTTGGGACACCCTCAACCCTCAGTTAATCAGCCACGAGGGTCCCCGTGCCCAGGCTGGCTAGCAAGTCCTGCCACCCCAACTCTCGAGCCAGGTGGAGGGCTGAGGGCTCCCCTACCTCCAGATCCACTGTGCTTCCTGCACCTCTGGGCAGAGCCGGAGGGATGGGGTCAGGTGGCTCTTGCCCACTTCAAGGTGACACAGCAGACACCTGGCTAGAGGCTCACAGTCGCACAATGAAAGCTAATCCACCACCAACAGTGGTCTGCGTGCTCTGTGGGGGCAGCGTCGGGGGTGTGGCCCTCGTGGGCTTGGGCTGAACTGGCTGAAGGGCACAGAGAAGAGGCCAGGCAGCAGGCTGAAGAGCCCGGCGCGGTCCCCGGATGCTGGCCTGGGGGTGGGGCCTGTCATGAGGTGGGGGACCCGGGCTGCAGGGCCTCACATCCTGCCCTGCCCGGTGCTGCCATAGAAGAAGCCAGAAGCCCAAAGCAGGCCGTGCCCTTGAGCCCCTCCATCCTGCCCCCCGGGATTGGCACCCATCCCTGCACCTCAGGGGAGGAGGAGAGTACAGCGGGGCTCAGGGCGGGAATCACCGGGGAGCCTCGGCACCATCTGAGAGCAGGAAGGGAGGGAGGGAGGGACGGAAAGGAGCAAAGAAGGACAGTGAGGAGGAGGCAGGGCGGTGAGCAGACACCCGGAGTGAAGTCCCTCCTGGGGATGCGGTTGGCACCGGTCTCTCCCTGGAGAAAACCCTCTGGGGACTGGGGCCTCCCAGACCCGCCGCATACCGGGCGCCCGCCCTGT